GGAAGGCAAATTTGGTAAATTCCAGTTCAACACGGCGGATATAGTAAAAAAAAATAAATAAAAAAAGAGGATTATTGCGTAAATTCCTATTTCATCAGGATTAATAAGTGTGATATTTGCAGTTACATGTATTTCGCAATTTGTTGAATTGATAAAAAATTGTTATGTCCTAAACAAATATTACTTATCAGTCATTCAAGCTGTTGTACGTTTTTGAAAGAGTTCATGGTGGTCTGTGTGGCTTTTATTTCGCAATATGGAAGAAAATTAGGTATGACGGAAGGATCGACAACATAATTCCTTTAAAATCCAACGCGAATTGAACATCTTGAGTGCGTATCCTCTGCGCCATAGTGCCTTTTTCCACACCGTTTGTTGAACTTTGTGAACTGCATTCTCAAGAACAGGAAGGCAAATCCCTCCTAAGTCTTAAATGACTTCTAAATTTATTTTGCATAACCCTGGGTATAATGTGCTCATTATAGTTCTGTATCCTCGTGACACATTTTTGTTTAAGAATGCAACTTTAATATGATAAAATATATGGAATTAACGAACAGTATTCAAGCTCAAGAGTTCATTAAACAAAACAAATCAGGAGCAAAGCAAACACAGACTTCTAAAACACTAGAGGCGAGATCCCCTGCCGACCGGTTACACCGCCTTGTGTTCCTTGTCATGATCGGAAAATAACAGGAAAACCCGTCGACATTCAGTGTGTAAGAAATGGCCCAACAATTAGAATGAAAAGCGTCAGTCAGCATTTGAATTTTTTTTTTCTGACAAGGTCATTGTATCGACCATAGAACTTACAAAATGATAACTTTAAACGAGACTGAAGATATTCTTTTTTTCATCAATTTGTTTGTCAATAACCTTCCTCGTTTTAGAAATTGGTCATACGTAGAGCTTGCTCTTGCGTATCGTTTCAACTGAGAGATATACACCCCGTATGCAGGTGATGAAGGTATATTGCTGCATAAGTAAGGGAAGTTGACGATTGAAAACTTAAAGTCATCACGTTTATCATTAAGCTTTGTTGTTAAATTACAATAAATGTCTTTTTCTAGTAAAATATTCAAATATGAAAGTGATGTGTCAGACTCTGTGGTATCTTTTATTTCAAGCTCACCGGGGTATATGGTATCGAAATAAGAATTGACATAACCATTGACAAGACCACAGATAGTGTTTTCTTCTTTTCAGGTATAAGATTTTGAACTCATTCTGCTTCATATAAATACAAAATAGGTCTGCTAATAATAAGGCGCAATTGGTACCCATGGGAATTCCAATAGATTGTTGAAAGACCTGATCTCCAAAAACCACATAGATATTGTCAATCAGAAACTCAATCGTCTTTTAAATATCAACTTCAGAGTACTTTGTGTACAATCAGAGTGTTTTTTAACAAAATAATTTTGCAAATGACCAGTGACAATGTAAGTAAATTTCCATTTTTATTGAAAGAGCAGCTGTCAATGATGTCAAAAAGCCTGTACTTTATTTAATCGTGGGGAATGGTTGTGTATAAAAATGAAAAGATTTCATGTTGTTAATTTTGGTAAAATTTTGCGATTTCAAATTTTCCAAATGTTCCTTGGAATTTTTAAGTATCCACATCTGATTTACACCACTTCTCGAATACATTGTTGCACAGTACTACTGAAGTTTCTCCTTCACTACTGTTAATATTTTAGTAAGGAGAAAAGAAAGAGGCTTGGTAGATCATTTACTGGAACCTGCTATGTATTTTTGTCTTTAAGGATTTTTATGAAGTTTCAGAATCAAATATAGATATGGTAATTCAAATTCATGTTGGTTGTTGGGAATATTTAAAATATTCAAATCTGACATGTTATTCTGAAGGATTTCCTCCCTAGAAAGTAAGCTATGGGTATACGTTGGATTACCACTTATAGAATTAAATCCCAGTTCCTTTAAAATACTATTTAAATAATTGGCTTTACAAAACAATGTTGTTTCCTGCTTTGTCAGCAGGGACCAGTACATACTGATCCTGTAATCTATCTAATTTTTCACATCTGAATTAAAGAGCACAGAAGTATAGTCGGTTTTCATTTTCCCTCTCAATCGCTTAATGCAAGATTTTACCATACATCTGTTACATTTAATCCATTCCGACAACGTTATGTTGTAAGGTCTTCTTTTTCATGTCTGGCCCATCGCCTGGCGTAATATTCCGCAGAATCCATAATATTTATGAAATTATGACTCTAATAAAAATATCGGGGTTCCCTAAATTTTGGCCCTTTTAAAATTATTGATTAAAGGTCCTCATTATTAATTATATTTACGTCACCGGTAATAGCTTGTCCAGCAGGACTATAGTTATAGGGTGAAGAAGAACATGAACACGAAGGAGGATTATGTTTCAGATACTCGATACCTAGGCTCTGTAAAGTTTTTTTTTTTTTGTAATTAAAAAGTTAGGAAGCGATAGTCAATGTATATTTGAAGGAAATACAAGATGTAGTCTTCACCTTGAAATATGGTGGAATACAAGACTGGACCCTTTTGTGATTAAGAATACGAGAGTCATTCAATAAGTAATGCAACATATAGTTTTTCATAATAAATGTAGGAATATTTTATTTTATTTTTTAACAGTTGAACTAACCACAGAAAACCCCATGCTTTTTAAGCCATGCTGTTTAAAAATGATCTCCGCCATGCTATTAAAAAATGATCTCTGCCAACAAGATGAAAATGAGGGCGTATGTGAAAACTTTGCTTCATTACATTAATAGCTGAATACCCCATATTAAAGATATGAATTTGATATTTGGAAAGACTAGTCTTTCACGCTGTATAGTTTTCGGATGGATTCGGATATTTAAAAGGAAATTTAAAATATAAAAGTACAATTAAAAGATCTCAGTCAAAGTGGTCGATCGAAATCTGTAGGGGCACCAAAAGTATGGATGGTGTGAACAACATGATATCTGAAAATGCAACATTTCCATTGATAGACTTTGCTAAAACATTTCATCGTCATGACAGCATATAGAGTTGTGACATATGAAATAAATTTAACAATAATTCTATCAAATGGGTGCCTTATTTCTTTACAAATGCTTTAGAGAAAACACACGTTAAATGTTCCAATGGTCTATTTATAAACAAACATTTTTACAAAAAAGATTTGATAAACTTGAGTGATGGATAACGAAACATTTGTGTACTTTTTATAGCCGAAAAGGAAGAACGAGAATAAAATGTGGAATCAGAGAGAAAGCTGTCGTCCTATTATTGCAAAGAGAAGCAAGGACTTCAAATATGTTTTATTAACTTTCTTTATATTCCAGAGGTAATGTAAAACGTGTAGATAGAGCCAAAGGAAGGAATATCAATGGTAACGTTTATGTTAAAATTTCACCCAGGAAAGTTCAGCATATTTCCTGCAAAGCAAGCCAAAATAGCGGTCCCCGGGGTGTTTTCTCTCCACCTGAAAATGCTCCTTCAAATAAGCATAGAGAAATAAATAAAATCTTGAAGAATGGAAAGTTTACAGAGCTTAGGCATCCCCCATATTTGCTAGGTCTCAGCCATTGTGAGATCCTTTTCTTCCAAAAACATATGAAAGCAATCAAAGGAAGACTTTATAATTTCAGGTATATCATGGAAAGTGCTATTCAGCAGTGTCTTTAGGACATACCTAAAGATTAGTATGCTGAGGTTTTCTGGTCATGGGCACAAAGACTTTAGACATATTTATTAAACGACCTCGTATTACTTATATTAACTGGCATATTGGAGTTTAAGGTAAAACGGGTTGACTAAGTTTATATGTGTATATAATATGTTTTTGTGTTTTGCAAAAATGTTTACAAGGATTAGAAAATTTACATATTTTGGTCCATTTTCCTCATTTCCTTGGTTCACATGGTTACCAGTTGTAACTAGGTACTATCAATTGCTGGGATTGAACAAAAAGTAATTCATAGTTCTTCAGGGAAAAATGCTGAAAATCGTATCACGTGATGACCAATGACTGCTGTTGGCATCCAAATGCTTCCAGTAGCTTTTTCAAATTCAACAATGGTAAAAACCCTAGATACACCTTTTCTCATTTTTAAGAATTACAGAGTTCTAAAATCATGTTTTTTTCTAAACTATTGCACGAAATAATTACAAAGTATACACATATTTCTAACACTTTTTTTTGTTAAACTCCTTCAGGAAATTTTAAAATATATAAGGAATAGATTAGATAAAGAGATAGATAGATAGGTGTTTTATTTTTTTTATTCAAATTTATTTTTGCAAAAAAATAACTAGATAGTTATGCAATGAAATATGAAGATAACAAACAGCAATCTAGATCAAAAGTCCATTGAAACAGGGCAAACACGGACCTCTTAAAATATCACAGGTGGAATCAGTTGCCATAGAGATAGATTCTCAATGTTAACGTAAATCAATAAGAAAATGTTTCCTATAAAGCTAAGGGAGACGGATCTTTAGTGAAGAATGGACCATATCAAAATTATGACTGGTGTGACTGTATTTATGATTAAATACGTGATCCCTACGTTATCCTTGTATGATTATAGTCATTCATAGAAAACTGTGAAGTTGTTTTATGATATGCTTTGTTATTATTTCTTAGTTTACATAATTAAGAAATCTTTCTTTGGTTTTATCTAACAACAACAAAGGCAGCAAATTTATTTAAGATCCTTATGAAAGACAGAATACCAATTTCAAATTATGTACAACAAGCTTATTCAGAGAATTCGTGTCCTCACTGATTTAAAAAGGAAGAGGGTGAAAGAACGGAAAAAATATGTAGATGGAGAAAGAAAAAAAGTCAACATTGACCTTTCAGCTTGTGGCCTTAAAATAAATAAGGGTGATTTTTCTTGACCTTTTTCATTGTAAGAGCTTACGGAGAAGGAAAGTGTATGCACGCAAAATACAAATTCCTAACCTTTGTCTTTGACCCTTAGAGTCTTTTTAAGTCACATTACATGTAGCTATTTTGACTACTGTTCATTAAATTTATTATAAATAGAATAAATATCTAAGAAAGGTATAACAATTTTCAATGCTCGATTTTCTATACACAGAATAAAGCCTGTCATTCAAGCTACTCTGTCTCTGTTTGTAATGATAAGCATATCAATGAGGGTTTTCAATATTTCCTGGGCTCATAGGCAGGACACATTTTATTTTCAGTGACTGTTATTTGTAAACGTCATTGTTCATCAATTTTCTTTCATCAGCAACAGTCCCATTTTCACTCATTAGAGTAGATATTCTCTTCACCTTGACCCTGTTGTTCCCTGATGTACTCCAAAACAGCTGTGTGAATCAGTCTGTATTCTTCCTATCAGAAAAAAATTACAAAGTTTATTTGTGTTCTACTGGTAAGAGACCAGAGGAGCTCATGCACTAAAAAGATGTCCGTCTTCCGTCCGTCTGTCTCTAAACAATTTCCAAAACACTACTCCTCCTACAGCTTTTTATTTAAATTAGACTTGATACACAAGAAGATCAGACTACGATAATAGTTCATTATTTTAAGTACAAACACTTTTAGAGCTACAACCTCGTCAGAAACTCCGGCTTTTAACACAAAAACTGGCGTATAGCACTTTTTAAAGGGATTTCATTGCTTAAAAAAATCACCTGTTCTTGTTTTAACTGTTCAAGGCGATAAAGAAGATTATTTGTTGTTTTTGCCAATATACAAAAACATTTCAGACTTACAAGAGTGGAACATAACTCTGGACGTCTGATTTGTAGCTGTCGGACAGTAGAGAAAATGTCCACCTCTCCGTCCATAGACAACTGTTGTATTACATTGTATACAGCACAGAATACACCACCCAGGGCTGCACCGTCACTGTTATATAAAAGATCATATAAGTATTTATACATATCTCTTAAACTTTTTGCTTTAAACAAAAAAAATGTGGCGAATCACAAACTTATAAACAAGAAAAAGACATTTTTTTCTTGGTAACAGTGATGCAGTGGTAAGTGATAGTGGTAAACAATTACCACCAGCCATAGTAAGGAAATATTTAACCTGCTGACGATAGTAATGGGTCCCTCAGGTTTATTGTCCATTGCGAAGGACACCAGCTTTAGCAGTTGTGATGTCCCCTTATCTGTTGACAGCAAACTGAACATAGGTTCCAAAATAGAAACCGAGTACGTTTCATCGCTTTGCTGTACAAGAAAGTATAAAGTGCAGTTTCAAAAAAGGTCCATTTTTGGGTTCATAGATTCTTATTTAATTGGCTGAAAGGTTATTAGTGGTCAATATATACTGTTTTCAATATGTTCAAATATTATTTATAAAAACAGCCTATAAGAATAGTGGAAAAGAAATCGAAAGTACAAGATGACATTCTGTATCTTCAAATCATGCAGAATTGTTTTTTTATCTATAAGAAGTTAATTTTAATTCAATTTAATTTTTTTCATTTAAACGTAAAACATAAATTCCATTTCATTTCAATCATATTTAATTTTATATACGTAAAACTCACTTCTTGAACAATTTGAATAGTAGAGCACTTTACGTCTTCTGAATTTTTCTTTTGACAGTGAACAGTAAATGGGGTCACAATTTTAGACTCATCTGGGATTGGCATCCACTTCTTGCTCTGGAAACAAAAATAATACGATTTCATTCCTAACATCTTAAAAACCTTTTATCCAAGGATATTACAAATCAAAAAAGACACATTTTAAATGTGTGTTCTCCCCTTGGTATTCACAAATACTGATATCTAAAAATATTACATTATACAATATCGATTCTATATCCAATGATTTTAGAATTTCTGATTCCATACTAATATCCGAATATATTACAATACCGATTCTATTTTGGGAAGAGGATCCATACAGATCACAATATCGCATTCATGGTCAGTGAGTAGGCGCAGGAAGTCAACAGCGTCCTCTGGTGGGGGATAGTGCGTCACAATAAAGGCTTTGTTGTTTACATATGACTACAAAGAAAGATTAATTTTTGACACATTGGAAATTGTTACAAATTGTTTATCACCTTGAAACTTTTTTTTGCATATAAATGGACGTTGATAAATATTATTAATGATTACATGTATATCATGTAACAAAAGCAACAGCAGCTTTTCTTGTGAAGTGATCATTTCAATAGTATGGTTAATACACAGATTTGATATCTTCTTAAAATTTGAGACTTTTGAACAAGAAATACGTACAGGAAGTGTAACTGCATTTATGAAACCTCCACGGTTACGTACATTAGAAGAGAGGAACAGACTGTACCTATCAACTGGAATAAAAGTCACTCTATGTTAACGGCCTATATTTAAAGCAAAATTTAAACGCAATCATTTTAATTGTTTTAATTTTTTAAAAAAGAGACAAAGCCATGCAAATATTCTCAGATTATACATGAATAGTGGCAATTCCATTGTTTTCTATTTTACAAGGGTAAATAAAAAGAAAGTTACTTCAATTAATGTTGGACCCAAACTATTATTACATTTTTTTCAGATTGACAATGCACGATTGATCCAAACTACATGCTTATGACTGTCATTAATTTTAAAAAGGAAAATAAGAATCCTTACAACTTTAGATGGAATATAAGCCTTCTAAAAATTATATTATTCTAATTAATGACATACGTGGTAGAATTGAGGATCTTTGTCCATGTCCTGACTGTATGGCAAGCTTATAATCGGCTTCTGTGTAAGAGGGACGGGCTTTCAACAGAGTCTGCAAAATCAAAAGAGTTTGGTTATTCGTCTCATTTATTTTGATTAACCTTTATAAATTTCTGCATTTCTCAAAATGATGTTTTTTAAAATGATTATTTTATAATTATTTGGTGATATACAAATATTATTAAATGAATACAATCAGACCTATTAGCAATTGTTTAAACAAATGATAAGTAGGAAAGAATCCATAGGGTTTGAAAAATGAAATCCGTCGATTTTTTTTATCTGTTATAGGTTAATGTATACATGTTTTCATACATTTGCATCTTCATTTCATCCATACATGACGGTATTGCCCGACTTCAGACCAAGTTCCGTAAACGAAATTTAATATATTTAAGATTGAATTACCCGAAACTCCTTTATGAATTTATTTTGATTGGCCAAATTACCTGAAACTCCCTTCTAAGTTCACTTTGATTGGCTGGTTTATCACTCGTCATTAATTCCGCTTTTCTGATAAACTCTGATTTCTTTAGGACTGAGGGACATGCCTTAAACACGTGGTTGAGAGCCAGAAATATGGTTATGTATTGTTCCTGTAAAGAAACGTTTTGAAATAGAAACAAAAGTCATTGGACAGTCATGAAGTAACTTTCCAAATCAATTCAATCTTTTTAACATTTTGAGAGATTCGAGGTACACTTGGTATTTTAAATACAGAGCCTATCAAAGCTTAGATTGTATGCAGTCTCTGATTTTGAAGACAAGAGATTCTGTTGGGTTTTTTTAAAGTTAATATCATAATGCTGTTAAATTCTTGTGGACTCTGCTTTTGAGGTAAATTGCAATAGAGTTTGTTCATTGTCCAAAAATCATTATAAATTTTGACATATTGTATTACATGTTAAATGACGTCTAAACCTTTTCTTTTCATACCATGAGAAGTTAGAATTCCAGAAACATACATGTATATGACTTGTTAAAATTTTACAAATATTATCTTAAACAAAGTGTAACAGTGTGTAGCAGTGTCAATCCTGATTGCGTGGACCTGAGTTTTACGCAAAAAATATATAACCGAGGTTAAACCGGTATAGAGATAACTAACAATATTTAAGCTCAAAAGTCCATTAAACAATACAAAGTTTGGAGCAGAGCGGACCTCTAAAACATCAGAGGTGGGATCATGTGCCATGGAGGAGTGAGCATCCCCTGCCGACCGGTCACACCCGCCGTGTTCTCCTTGTCATAATCGGGAAATAACGGAAAAATCCGTCGACAACTCACTGTGTTAATAATGGCCTAACAATTAGTACCGGTATGAAAAACGTCAGTCAGAATTTGACTTAATGATCAATTGTATTTGCTGACAGGGTCATTGTATCGACCCGAGAACTTACGAAATGACTACGTTAAACACTGGTGATATTCTTATTTCATCAACTTGTTTGTCAATAAATGAATTTTAAAAGCCCTAGCTTTCGTTCATTTATTTATGCAGGTTTGTATTCATCAACAACCTGTCCCACTTCATGCTGATATGGATACTATTTGAACCTCTTTTGTTGGAGAGTTACAATTTTGAAACTCTCGTATTAGTATCCGGTTTTTCTCGAAATCTCCTTCCTTATTTTTTTTTTATATTTAAGAGTAACAAGGTCTGTCGAATGTCTCTTAAAATTAAAAGAAACAGAAAGGAGAGAACCGATTACTAAGGCGCATTTGTTATGAAACCTATATTTCTCCCATTATATTAAAATGTAATTGTGCGTTTTTAGGTTTATAAAGCAGCTAATAAGAATTGTACAATATGTAATCAGCAAATCATAATCGCGTCCAAGGTATTTCAAAATCTGTTATGAGCACGTAAAAAAATAGTCGCGAAGGAGTGATGAAACATAGTTGATAATAAGAGAACGAAGTTTATCAGATTGGAATGTATACACGGTTTGATGTATTACAAACTACGATATAATATATTGATTCATTTAATTTTAAAGTACATACGTAAGTTTGGACCATATTCATTCTATTTTCTCTCATTCTCTTGATGTATTCTGCGATGTTGATTTTCTTCTCTTTTTTACCAGCCTTATACAGAGCATCTAGAGCTATGTATGTACCCGTACGGCCTATCCCGGCACTAAGAATAAAAAAATATTACCATATCCAAATAAATAAATGAACACGTGCCTGGTTGTATGCTATGGATAGAGGTAATATCATAGGCATCACAGATTTTGAATTCAACAAAGCTTTTGATTTTGTGAGTCATGACATTCTTATAAATAAATTAAAGAATTACAACTTTGATGAATTGTCAATTAAATGGGTTCATTCGTATCTGAATATCAAGACACAATGCGTTAAAATAAGTACATCTTCTAATGTCTTACTTGTCACAGCAGGAGTGCCACAGGGATTAATATTAGGCCCCTTATTGTTTTTGTTGTATATTAATTACCTTTCCTTACATGTCTGTCATACAAACATTGATATGTTTGCTGATGATGCAACTTTGCATGTTTATGAGATTATTATATTGAGCTGATTTAATAAATATTTTATTTAGAAAATGGTGTTTAGAAAATCAAATGCTTTTAAATGTTGATTAAACAAATTATATTATGATGGGACCTCAACAACGAAAATCGAAATTAAATAATCAAAATCTTAGTTTACATTTTCTGGCAAACACCTGACAGAGATGAAACGGAAACACTACTTGGAGTACATGTAGATCAAACTCTAAATTTTCATAACCAAGTAGACTCAGTCTGCAAATCTTTAACATATAAATTACCTTGCAAAAAATCAAGAAATTTCTTCCCCTGAAAACTAGAAAACTGTTTTACAATGCCTTTATCCTGCCTTCTATCAATTATTGTCTGACTATCTTGGGAAATGCACCAGGCAATTACCTGGAGAGAATTCATAGGCTCCAGATGTGGGCCGCTAGAATCATACTTGAAGCTGTTCCTGATGCTCCAACTAAGGCATTATTTGAAAAATTAGGCTGGCTAGCTGTTTTTGATTTAGTACACGAGTGTATCTTGTTGTACAAAATATTTAACAATCAGAGCCCTGTTTATCTTCAAGATTTATTTTTCAAACTTCTAATGCTTACAATTTATATTCAGAATCTAATTTTGACCTTTGTCTGCCAAAACACCGAAAAAGTTTGTTTTAAAATTCACTCCAATATTCGGGTATTTATGTTTGGATCGGTTTGCTTTTAGGTATAAGGTGTGTACCAACTCCGTCAGTCTTTAAAAGAAATGTAAAAAATATATCTTCATAAATCGAATCTCATTATCTTAATCTCTGATTTATATCTTTTGTACATATGATGTAAAAATCTTACATTATATTTCTTTATATGTCATCATAATATGTTTGTCTATTTTTATTATTATCATGTGACATTGTACGTGTATTCAATTGCTAGTTGTTAATCTTTGCTACTTTGATGACATATTTCTTATACTTAGAAGCCATAAATATACTTGGAAGACCCTGAGGAAGAATACTGTGTCACTTTCTCTAAATAAAGTAGCATTATTATTATTATTATTATTATTATCATATTCATAATTTATTATTATCAGCAGCATCAGTATCATTATTATAATTAGTATTATAACATCATGTGAATCATATTCAAAATTCGGTAGGTTGCTGGTTTGTGTGCATGGTATTGGTTGAAACACCAGTAAAATTTAAGCAATCAAAATGGTTGCATGTTTTCTGAAACACCCTGTATGTTCGGATGCCAAAAGTAACCTGTATTCGCCACTTACAGTCATTGTGCAGTGAGTGAACTTTTTTGTGCCAGCATCAACTGCGACACGAAACCTCGGTTTTCCCAGTCTTCCAAAAGACTGGTTTCTGCTTATGGCAGGTGAATTGAACTCATGATGTAAGGATCAACTCAAGAAAACACTTCGTGGCCTTCAACTGGACATTCAGATATATCGTATTCTCGAGAAGTACGATAAACAACAAACAAACAAACAGATATATCGGTTACGGTTCATCAATTAACAATACATATGTAGTTACTTCCATTCTTATGTCGACTCCATATATCCCAGTGAACTTGGATTTAAAGGGACCACAGTGTCTGCCACATCTTTTTTTATATTGTGATGTTTTACCTATTATATACGATAAGATTCAACCAACAACAAAAATGTATGCCAAACATGATGACTTACGCTTTTTTATCGTCAACATTCCTTATTTATGTGATAACATTTCGCTGTCACCTGCATATAGTGTATTCGTCTCCCAATTTATTTGATACCATAGAGCATGCTCTGTATACGATCAGTTTTTAAATTGAAGCAGGTTACTGACAGATAATTTGATGTTACAGGAATTTCAACAACCTTGTTTGAAGTCAGCATTTTGTAAATTCTATGTTCGTTATAATTATCCTCTCAACAAATATAACCTATCACTGGGTCGCATTTTGACTGACGTGTTTCATACCATTATTAGGCCTATACTAAATTCTAAATACTAAATTACACTAAATTTGACTAAGGAATGTTTCGTGTACCTGATCAATACACAGGGCTCACAGTGGGTGTGACCGGTCAACAGGAGACGCTTACTTCTTCAAGGCACCTTATCCCCAACTCTGGGATTTCCTGGGTTCCTTGTTTTATGCCCTGTTCACCGATTTGTATTTTTTTGGTTTGTTTTTTATTTGATCGATCACTGTTTTTTTTTTTTTTATTTTTTCATCCTTACTCTATGACATTAACTGAACCGACATTATTCGTTATTAAAACAGGTAATTTTTTTTTGTTTTGCTTATAAGATATCTGTTGAATATAGAAGATGTGATAAATATTTTAAACAATCAATGAGCTTCATTTTAATATTCTGATTAATATTTTCAATATTACATAGGCATACCTGCAGTGAACCAATATTGGACTATGATTTTGCTCATTCCTTGTCACGTGATCGTGGAATACTACTAGACAGAGCGGTTCCGGTATGCCATGGTCCGGCCATGCAGTGTAGTGATATTGAGTCACAATACGTGTCTTTTTACGCTGGTGAAAAACAAAAGGTCAGAATTGGTAGTACTTTGTAAAACAATAGCATTCTATTCTCGCTTACAAATACACTTTACTATCAAAGTTTTCTGATAAGTAATTAAATATACAAATTCGAAAATATGCTTCTCAAACTGTTGTTGGAATAGTAATGATAGACTTACGTTTTTACGAGCTACCCTTAATCTTCTGATGACATAAAATGCGTATATTTTCTCTTCGTTATTATCTATAGAAAATTCCCCTATGGAAATGACCTTGTTTAGTTCTGGCCAATATTGCACACACTTTGCCTGAAGACAATAAAAGCGACTGAATATATAAACGAATCATTAAACACAGAATGAAACTCTGCCATTTAGTTAACTGAAAGTCTACTGAAAAGAGACTGAATGAGTTCCACCATTCAGTGACCTTTCCAGTGACCATTCAGTTGACAGAATGGTGTATTGTAATAGGTTCATGAATGAGGCAAAGATAATAGATATACTAATTAAAGACTGACTGTTTCACGATAACTGCGGTACTGCTTTTTTGCAGGGCAAAACTGATAGTCTGGTAAAATATGACGTACCAACCATTACTCAATAAATGTCATATGATTAAATACCAAATACAATTTTGCCAAAAATTATTAATTTGCCCTGCAAAAGAGCGGTACCGCAGTTCACGTTAAAGGGCTAATTAGACAAAGTTAATGTATTTTGAAATTACTAATTGCAATTATCAACAATGTAACAAAGGCTTCAATTTTTTTTCAGAAATTACATCACTACCTTATTTCCTTCTTTAAGGTTGGTCAGCATAACGATTTGTGAGACTTTCTCCTGCCAAATCATTAACCAGAAATCTGTCAGTGTGTTCTGTTTAGGACCTGTAGAAAAAAGTATTTCCTAGCATACATCTACATCAACTAATTATATAGACTTTCTGTTATATATCTTTCTCGTATATCAGTTGGTTTTATCTGAAATTCCTGTTAGATATTTAAAACAGTTTTATGTATCAAGTTGTTATATATCTTTTTATAGATGTATAACTGATGTGATATAGATAGATAGATAGATAGATAACTGATGTGAGATAGATAGATAGATAGATAGATAGATAGATAGATAGATAAAGGTGTTCAAGAATAAACCCTTTTGATGTTAAAAAAATAATAATAAACAAAAAATGATTAATAATAATCAATTAATAACTTATTAGAAATCTATATTCACCTTGAGAAGCTATATATTCCTTTTCCATTTCAATGCCCTGAAAAATATCAAGATTCGTATGAAGAAGAGAATCATCTCCTAAGATGTATTTTTTAAAATTAAATTTTGTTTTCTTTAAAAGGTATTTAGTTCTGCTCTGTTATTCTTTCATCAAAAGGTGGACTCACATGAATGAAATTGGCATTGATGTAGTCGGACTGGTTATTTCTCAGCTCAACTCGAGAATGGTCATCTGAAAAATTCATTCCTTTCTTGTTATCAATATCCTACATTTATTTCAACATGTTTTAACTGAAATATGTCTCATCTGATTAACAACTTCAGAAAATTCAAACGAATATCCCGAGACAGATATGAACAAAATAATAGTATTTCTGGCTATTGTTAAGCTGAACTAAAGAATCATGAACATGTTTTTGTAAGTACTTTTTTTTTCAAAGTTCAAGTTCGATAAAAAACCTAATGCTAACCTTCAGTTTTTATTCTGGTAAATCTATATTGAGCATTTTGTTCTTGATAAAGTTTTACATATGATTTTTAAAATATTCCCAGTATTTAAATTGAAGAATGTAATGCCAATTAAGCAATTAAGCAAAATTTAAAGAAATTCATTAATAAAACGTACAAGGAAATGTTGTCTTAAATCTATTCTTTGCAAGATTTTCTGAAAGTTTTCCCGCTGTACAACTCCTTCTCTCGCCATATGGAAGAGCCTAGAATACAAGAAAAAATCTTTATTTCAAAATCGATGCATTTGCTATGTTTACTTTTGAGATTATTGTAAGTTATCATTTAAGTACATTGACTCTTTGTTAAGATAGATTTCTCTTAGTAATTTAAATAACAAAGATTCCTTTACAAAATCGTCAAGAAAAAGGTAACTTTTGTCAAATTTCTCCCTGCAAGGTCTCAGATATTGTGTACAAATTTCTTTTGCAGTATAATTAATATGGAAGCAGCATTTTATTTGAAGGAAGATGTAGACGATGAACCTTAAATCAAATATATATCTAACACCTCCCTTACAGCATACTCCCTCTTGAAGCCATCATTCTCGTCTCTCTGTTTCTCCTTTATTACTATATCCAGGCTGTCTATTGCGATGTCTGGAATCAGCTCTTCATTGAGATACAAGTCTCCGTACGGATTTTCCTCGTGTATCTTTTCATCGATGTCGATATCATCATTTTTGTCGTTGTTCTTGTCTGATTTACTCCTTTTTGATTTAGAGCTTATAACAGTACGCCTTTGTTGATTTCCACTCGTTTGTTCCGTTGATGTTTCTATATTAGCATATATGTTGCTGAAATCCGAACTGTTTGATTTAGCTGTCAGTGAGAAATATATAACTTTAAAATATTTCAGAATTATACCAAGTTTACAACTTGTATTAATTTATGTCGTTTACATTTATTTCTTTGTAGCTAAAGAAATGAAAATACTGTACTAGATAACGAGTATTTTATCAACCTGCTGGGTGGGGCATAATGTACTTATTTACGTGAACATTCTAACAGAGTCAGAAAGGGGCAGTTAAAAAGACAAAATGTTCTCACGGGTAAAATTTGAGTCCATTTTCCTTTGAACTGCTTTTCGCACAGATCCCTGTTCTCTGTCTTTTTCAACTCTGAATCTATGAAAGAGAAATCTATATATGAGATGAATACAGAAATGAAAATCAATCAACATTTTCATTTAACTTTTATTGCATCTATTATTTTTCATTCAGACATTTAAAATAAAGACCTATTGCAAATTTATATAACATTATTTGGAATATTTTATTAAAACTAAATCGTAACAATCTTCTGAAAAATTGTGCATCTTTTCTTAATTCTTCTCATGTTTTTTGTAAACCATTTTACGATGTTGAAAAATAGGAATTTACGGATAAATATATTAAAAAAACAATGAGAGGCAAGTAACAAAAACGGTTTAAACAAACCTTCTCATGACAAATAAAATTACAACAGTGATAATAATTATAAAGAGTGCAGAGAGGATTCCAGCGACGACAGGAAGTGCTGATGAAGAGCCGTCCTCTTGTTGTTCCAGAAACTACAAGTAAAAATCTCCATCAATACCATTTCATCTTTTAAATACCGGTACAAATTTTACAAATGCAGCTGCTGTGATGTGTTATGTGCTACAATTAAAGAACTTTGTTTTTATTCCAATAATTCAATTATGTATCTTTTATTGTACGAAGGCTATAAAATTTGGGAAGTGGACAAGGTGTCTTTATCTTCAAACACGGGTTGAAACTGCACCAATCAGTCAACTGAATGTTCACTGAAGGTCTGGTTAGGTGATTATATAGAAGAGTTCTGCAATACAGTATTTTGCAGTAAACATACAATTTTCAGTTCAGAAAATGGTGTGGTTTATCATGAGAATATGGTTCTTTACTTTTGTCCATTCAAATACTGATGGTTTAAGTATCTTCCAGGGAGATATGAATGTCGTCTTAAGTGTCTATTATTGCTTTTTGAACTCATGCATGGAAATGTTGAACTACACCAACTTAACATGTAACATGATAATCTTATCCATTTTTTCAATACTTGTCCTTTACCTTTGATTTATAGCACGCTCCCGTCTCAGGTTGGCACGTCTCATTGACACAATTTGTGCTACAGTTCTTAAGACAGTTCAATCCCCATCGTCCGTCGTCACAAGCTAGATAGTTTAAATAACAAAACGTATGTTTCATTATAACGACATAATTTTTCTAAATTGCAAGAATTTATTCTATTGATATATCAAGCTTAATTATCAGGTACGTACGGTCTAAGCAGGACTCCCCAAGATATCCAGGAGAACAACCATTCAAACACGTCCCGTTGATATGATGACATTGTTGATTATTCAGACAGTGACCACAGCTCTCGTTACAATTATCACCGTACATTCTACCGTTACACTCTTGATTAACCATTAAAAATAGTTTACATTTACCATGTATGTCTACATTTAAAGGCAATTTATATAAAATAATTATTTTCTTTTGCCCTTACCTATTGTTAAATTAGAAGTGTCAGTTACATCCTACCCCATAAAGAGTTAAATAAAGGATATCTATAACTTGAAATTTTTTTCTTTGTTTTATATTTATTACGTACTAAAACAATATTGGTAATAAGAGTATAAAAAAATCATCTTATGGTTCAAATTTTGTTTCATTAAGAAGCATGTTTTTATATATATATATATATACACATTCACCTTTCTTGCAGTTAGGACTTTTCCATCCTGGTTTACACCCTCCATAACACTCCCCGTTAAATCTGTTACATTGTTTCACATCTAAGCAATTTGGACTACACGTGAATCTGCAATCTTTACCATAGTGCCCTTGTTGACATTCTGTTGAAACAATATTATTTCATTATGAAGAAATAATATGAAATTGATATTAATCATAGGGACATTAAGAAGCATGCTTAGATGCATGAGCTACGTTTAAACTTTTATGTAATTAGATTTCGCAAATAATACCTTTATTTTACTATAAAGTAGAAGAAGTGTGTTTGGATTTTAGAAATAACATTTAAATTTTGTTTTTATTTTTCGTGTAGAAATGGCAAAAAATAAACCTTTCTTTAAATCACCCGTATTAACTGAGATATTTAGTTTATTGTCTGCCTTAAAATGTTCTCTGATTGAGCTGCTTATATACACATAGCCACATACGCCGGTATATTTTCAAAGAAAACAAAAATGTTATTCATAATTTTTTAACCTGGTTTTCCACCGGAAAAGATGATTCAACCCGCAGTACTAGTAAAAAATAAAGCACCATTTAAGATGGAAAAAATATATACTTTCTACATACTATTTTTTTGTTTTATAAAGCAAACAACATGCATATACTTTTAAAAGTTGTCCTAGATCTTTTTTTTTTAAATTATGATTATATGTTTCGATGCTTTAGTGAAACGCTAATGGAGAGGAATGGTCTCAGTAAGCGTGTATTTTGACTCGAAACATAAATTAACACACACCTGTGTCTTGTTAAATAAATGAACTAATAAAACTTTATGTATATAATATTTGTATTTAATGCCTCACTATTTGTACATTTATCCCCCTCGACCCCCTCGTTACATCCATTCAGACAGGTGCCGTTGACATGGTAACAGGTTTCTCCGTCACTACAGTTACCGCATGAAAAAGAACACTCCAAACCGTACTTCTGACTGCCACATCCTAAAACGACCAAAAAAATAGAGAAAGATAAAGATTCATTTTAGATAGTGTAAGATAAAAATAGATGCAAATTAAAGCTCAAGGTTTTCAAGTTTGATTATTATATTTCAACTGATCTTCTATATAAATGGGGGAATCGATATATTTTGCTGATACCTTGAAAGCCATCCTAAAGAGTCTGATTCTGCTAAAACGTGCGTCATTTTGAAAAAAAACTGATACCTATTCGTAACAGCCAAATTTCTTTTAATCTTATAAAAAGTTCCGATATGTTCCAGACACAATAATCTTTTAGAAGTGCCAATATGTTCCAGACACAGCATTTATTATCCAAAATATGGAGATAAAGGTGCAAAATTAAACAAGGGGCCCATGGGCCACATCGCTTACCTGAGCACACTGGTTAGGAAAAGCACAAATCAGTTCAGTATTGGAATTGTACAACGTATTGGACTTGAATTTTAAACTACCTTTGGATGCTTCCATATAAATAAAACAAATGGCTTTGCTGTTCTTGAGATTTTTTAAAGATTTATTCCTATATATTCCTTTGTTAAAATTTGATTCCCCATTGTGGTCCTTCCCTACCCCGTTGGTCATCATTTGAACAAATTTGAATCTACACTCCCTAAGGATGCTTCCATATCAATATGACTAACCATGGCTTTACTGTTCTTGAGAAAAAGATTTTTTCCTATATATTCCTATGTAAAACTTTGATCGTCTATTGTGGCCCAAACCTACCCCCGGGGATCATGATTTGAACGAACTTGAATCTACAATACCGGAGAATGCTTCCATATCAATATGACTAATCATGGCTTTGCTGTTCTTGAGAAGAAGATTTCTTGAAGTTTTTTCCTATATATTTCTATGTAAAACTTTGATCCCTAATTGTGGCCAAGCCCTACCCCTATAGGTCATGATTTAAACAAACTTGAATCAACACTACCTAAGGATGCTTCCATATCAATTTTATACTCTAGCATGCTAGAGGTTCACGGCGAAATACTTTTGAATTGGTGCCGCGTAACCTAAAGCATCCATTGTAAAAATTCTCGCCGCTGAAACCCCAAGTGGAAATAAACAAAAAATGAATTAAAAATTCAGGCTTTAAACTTGTCGAATGAAACGACACTTTTTGCGACAAAAGTTACCGGTACACTCTGTCGAATTAGCTATAATCCATTATTTAAAAATCGAAGCAGAATCGTCTGTTTGAAATTTGGGAATGGAATGCAGAAAATCTGATGAAACGAAACTAGTTTTCCGCTGTGAAACACCTGAAATTTTCGGTTTCTGACTAGCAATCCGCAAAATTAACATGAAGCCAAATCGAAAGTAATTCTGGTGACAAATTGAAATTATGACGAGTTTAATGAACAATGATGCATACCAAATATAAAAGTGGATTTTAAGCTTTCTTGTGACTTTAATACCCCATGGAAACACGTAGGTACCTGAGAATTACTTGTTTACGGTTTATTTCACGCATAATATGTTCCGCCCAAAATCTCAGGCGGAACGAGCTCGTTAGAAAATGGCCTTCGGATGTAAGAGTCCGAGGTATATAAGGAGCGTAGGAACGATACCCGAGGCTCTTACTTGTAGGAGTAATCAATATGACTAATTATGGCCTTGCTGTTCCTGAGAAGAAGATTTTTATAGATTTTTTTCCCATATATTTCTATGTTACACTTTGAGCCCCCATTGTGACCCAACCCTATCCCCGGGGTCATGATTTGAATAAACTTTAATGTACACTACCTGAGGATGCTTTCATATCAGTATGACTAATCATGGCCTTGCTGTTCTTGAGAAGAAAATTTTTAAAGTTGTTTCCTATATAGTCCTATGTAAAACTTGAATCTACATCATGTACATGTAATGATTGATTGATTGTATGTTGTTTTACGTCCCATTCGAGAATTTTTCACTCATATAGAGACGTCACCATATACCGGTGAAGGGCTTCAAATTTTGACCTTTACTCGGCACTCAGGGCCATTGAGCAGTGAGGGATCTTTATCGTGCCAACGCCTGCCGTGACACGGGGCCTCGGTTTTTAAGGTCTCATCCGAAAGACCTTTCACTTCAAAGTGCCGAGCGCATGGCGAAGGAAAAGTTGCTACCCATTTTATCGACTTGGGTCTGTCGCGGCCGAGATTCGAACTCACGACCTCCCGATCACGGAGCGAGCGCTCTACCGACTGAGCTACCGTGAACGGTTACATGTAATGAAGGTTTCCTTTAAGTTTCAACTTTTTTGGGCGCGTGATTCTTGAGAAGGAGATTTTTAAAATAAGCCACCAAATTTTCACTATTTCTGAATTATCTCACATTGAAAGAGGGCGTGGCCTTTCAAACAAACTTGAATCCCCTCATCCATGTATGCTTTGTAGCAATTTTAGTTGAAATTGGCCCAGTGGTTCTGGAGAAGAAGTAAAAAATGTGAAAAGTCTATAGACAGACAGACGGACAGCTGGACTACGAACGAAATGTGATTAGGAAAGCTCACTTAAGCTTTCAGCTCAGGTGAGCTAAAATGAATACCTGCAAAATTCAAAAAGAAGGTCGCCATGACCTTCTTTTGGGTCAACATGACCTGAGGTCTCAAGATCCATCAACTGACAAGATTTAATGAATCTGGTTCTTACAGTTGACAAAATATCAAAGTTTTAACAAAACATCATTTTAGGTCAACTTTGATTGATTGATTGATAGTATGCTTTTTACGTACCGTTCAGATCAACTTTGAAGTGATCTTGAGACCAGGCCAAGGGTGATGCCTTGTATGATTATTAATCTACAATATATATATCCTAATCCTTATCTGTAAGTTTGGTGATAACCTGTGCAGTGGTTCTTGGGATGTTTTTTTTTAGCAACCTCAACTTTTTTTCATGAGTATCTCCTTTGTTTTATGGTACAACCCTATTTTTAATAGGAATTAAAGCCCTTGGGCCAAGGATGGTCTGGGACATATTTAAACAAAAATTGGCAAGGATGTTCCTGAGATATGGGCCATATACAAAAAAGATGACGCACAAGGCCATAGCTTAAGCTCTCGAGTCTTTGGCTCAAAAGAGATAATAAATATCGATCGAAGAAAGAAAAAAAATGTAGGTTTATTCAAAAAAAAAAAAAAAAAAAATACTTACCTTAAATGTCACATGGGTCCTGTTATTCCGTCATTTATATATACTGACCTTTATTCTCGCACTGAGAACAGCGAAGACTTTGATATCATAATAAACGTCATCGGTTTTCAATTCTTGTTTTTAAATCATGAGACATATACATGAGCTACATGTAATATGATATGCAAATTACTTACTTTGACCACACATAGGCCCTTGATATCCCGGAATACAACCCAGACAGTCTCCAGTAGTAACGTTACATCTTTGTTCCTGACAGTTCTCCGGACACAACTGATCACAGTTTTCTCCATGGTAACTTGCATTAGGACATCCTGCAGAGAAAATAAATCATATACTGCTAGCATATACAGCAATTACACCATGATATTTCATTTGCGTTAAAACAGATAGAGTTAGCATGCACTACGTTGTACAGGTCTCACCAATAGCTTCCAATTCACATATTTCGTTGTATGCGTATGTAGAATAGTAACTTGGGTATGTAACATCCGGTCTCCTCTCGTTGTAGTATATAACATAACGTCCATGTACAGGACAGCTAATTGTCTGGTTCTCTGTTGGAGTACCGTTCACTTGTTGTAATTCATGGAAACAAACATGGCCGTCCTCCCTTTGTGTAATATTAGAAATGTACACAAAAAATCCAGCAAATCGATCGTAGTAGGCACCAGGACCTAAGGACAATATAAATTACACAATTCAGATTAATTTAATCTCAATAAGTGGAAAGGCTCTCTCTCTTAAGGGATGTCCGAAGAGATTGTCAAGACTCAATAAGTCATATTTTACAGATAACCATGCAGAGCTAGAATAGAGGAAGTATGGGGAGTTATCTTGTCTGGAACATCAACTTTTCACGCATTAAACACGGATCCTTCCTATTTCAAGAGACACAAGCTATTTTTGTGCTTATTTCAACACATGGTTTGTAATGTCCTCTGTTGCAGTTCAGACAATCAAACAATAAAAAAAATACAAAAATATAAGTAAAACAAAGTTTTAAAAGTAAACATTTTCAACCAATTATTTTTGAAATTAGAGATTAGAGATAACACAAAAAAATCAAATGATGATGTTTATATTATTTATCTTTGGAGGATCGTATTTCAAATTTTCAAAAAGCAGACTTTATTCATTTATTGCATTTTTATTCATAGTTATATTATTATAACTATAAATATTAATTCTACGCGGACAGCTTAGTCGAGGGATGAATTCGAACGATAGTTGATAAAATACTGTTTGCAATGTAATTTTTGCATATCAATTTCACCCCTTTACAGACTCCTTGTACAATGTTTAAACTAGATGCATGCTATCACTTTATTAGTTATATAACGTATTTCAGAATTTTAAAACATTAACTTAGTATTCAATATATGAATATAATTATTTGATTTCATATTTTACCGAAATACAGGATATTAATCGCTCGGATTTGTCCTTTTCTTGCAATGATGCTATGACTCGTTAATGATCTACCTCTATGAGTCTTGTTGCAGTTAAACATCAGAAAGAAACAACATTAAATTAGGCTCATAACTGCTCCCCAATTTACATTTTGTACAAATATGTAGCGGCTATTTAATTATACATGTTAAAAATATTATTTGATCTACAATATCAGAAAAAAGTCTGTTCCACTCCAAGACCAGTTGACAAGAAAATCTTTTCTAAAGGTACCGAGGTGGCTGGTATAAACAGTAACTTACAGGCAAATAATGCCAGGAGATCAAGTTTTAATTCATAGGATCATCGAGTATACACTAGTATTTTCGACCTTATCTGGAGATACTACTGTCAGAAATTCCATACCACTCTATCTACGCACATGTTTGGCGAGGATTCCCGATCATCATTCTATAATTGTTATTTTGGCAGTTGCCAAGTTCTTAATGCATGTGAGGGACGTGTCCAACCGGCTTTCAATTTCAAACTCCCACTCAGTGCATGACGTTTTATTTTTTCAGAGAACAAGAAAATCTATCCTAAGGCGGCCACAGAAATGATGGTAGTATAGGAATGCATTTTGCTTTGTCGATCTCTGTGCGCCTGTACTGACGGATTAACTCCTCTCGGATTAATTACTGGATTTGGCGCATTGCAGAACTATTTTCGTTGAGTATATTGAGTAACTTTTTCCGCAATAATCATCAAATAATAGGATAATTTGTACTGCACATATAGGCAGTTATCACCGAGAGATCTTTCAATTCCTCTTCATTACCCTTCAGAAGCAGAATTGAATCGTACTTTTTTGTAATTCCTTATTGAAGCAAGCAATCTGAGCTTCGAGAGCTAGCTTTATACAAAGTTGCAACGTGTGACCAAGAAGCCTAAGATTATTCCCTCCCACACAGAGAGCACCTGCACGCATTCCATATTACTCGCATTATCATTAACACAGTATTCAACCTTTCCAATCATATGAAATTCGTTCAGAATACTTTTGAGTTTGGACGACAAGTATACAATAGTATGGCTGTCAAGTATAGCTCGTATACACAAAATGTTCTACTTCATTTTTCCACCATTCGCAAGTGATTTAAGGTTAGGTATAGGCGTTTCTATGCAAATGAGCTAATAACAATGCAAAAGAGGTATATTTATTATACAGAGAAAGCTTAAATTCATTTTCTTACACATACTTAGTTTCCAAGGCATGTTATAGCTAATGCACATTATGACGTCATATTATGACGTCATTGTTCTTTAGTACTCAAAGTAATAAAACACACCAACAAACGGCTTTGGAGCAAGGGTACCCTATTTAATTTTAAGTAAATAATGTACAATTCTGCGAAGAATATTCTAAAGATTAATAAAGGTGCTGCACAAATCCTACGACTTTCTCGTTTGGAAAAAAAATGAGGAAACTTACGCTGGACTGGTAATTTTTACCCCGTTTCAACTCAAAACTTAACAAATAGTAACTAAACAATTGATCTGTCGACATTTGTGCAGCAATATCACATTTTGCTTCTAATTAGACCCTGTTTCTGTAAAAATAAATAGGGTATGCCCTTGCGCCGAAGCTTTTTTCTTGATGTTCTTTATAACTTTGTGGTCACCCGCGTGGTGCAGTGATTAGAGCGTCTGCTCTAGAGTCGCGAAGTAACGAGTTGATCCTTACGTCGCGGGTTCGAATCCCACTGTGGGACGTGGAGACCGGTCCTTCGAATGAGACCGTATAAACCGAGGTCCCGTGTCGCAGTAGGTGCCTGCACGAAAAAGATCCCTCACTGCTCAATGGCCGTAAGTGCCGAATATAAGAAAAAATTTGCAGCTCTCCACCGGCAAGTTGTGGCGTCTCCATATGAGTGAAAAATTCTCGAGAGGGACGTTAAACAAAATACAAACAAACAAACAAATATAACTTTGCGAAGTAGAGAGCAATGACGTCATAATTTGCACTGGCTATCACTTGTCGCGGGTACCAAGTTTGCATTAGAAAATAAGTTTTAACCTTTTCTGTATAAGTATAGCCCATATGCGTTTTAATTAGTTCATTTTCATAGAAACGTCTATACTTAGCCTTAACTCACTTGCGTTGTTTATATGATGTTCTGTTCCTGTTACATTGTATACACATGTAGCTCTCGGTTCTGGATGTCCATGCATCGGCAGTGATAGACACAGAATCTGTTTTATTTTTACGAAATCTGAAGCTCACTTTTTTCTTTCATAGTCGAGTTGCATTAAGCTTGATCCTATGGTATTCCGAGTTTACATTTTATAATATGGAGCTAGCAAATCAAATAGTACTTGGAAAGCCCTCTCCATTTATAGCACTAGGGGTAGACAATGCCTTTGTTATATTCAATAAAGAATAGTCTTTGTATTCTCTATATAGAGAAACAGTTAACATAATTGATATTAGCTCCTCTGAAAGATACTGACGGTCATTTAATTTCCACTATTGACCGGCAAGTAGGTTTTCCCATATTTGTATTGATTTGGATTCTGATTAATACTCTGTTTATTGTGACGTTGTGATATCATCGCAAATATTCCAAGAACATGGCGTCGCAAGAGAAAAGCAAAGTAACACAATCATGGCAAGAATCGCTAGCACTAGCTAGTCTACAATACAAATCCAGATAAATTGTTTAAGGTATTCCTTCCCTAATAGCCTCAGATTCAATGAAATTGAATTCATAACAGATGTGTACGGGTGGAATACTCGGTATATTTAGACATAATTCCCACTTATTACTATTAGCATGTAAGAATGGAACGTGTCCTAATTTATGACCTTGACCTTTGTTTAAGAGTTATCTCCCTCTTATTTAAGTAATAAAATTCAATTTTAAAAAATCTATACGGTAAAAAAATTGTTTTCAATTGTCATTCCATTTCTAATGATTTAATGCATCTTTCCACCGCAGTATTTTTTGATATTCTTATTTTTTGAATTAAAAAAAATCGCTTGTCTCCATAGACTTCAATTCAATATCTGTTAGTTAATTACTGCTTAGTTAATTACATTTTTGAAACTTTCTCTTGGTAAATCGTTTTCTACTGTAAAATTCTTTGAATTAATATCAGAGTAATATATACGTGATGGACATTTAAGGATAAAGAATTAGGTATATTAGGGATGGAAAACCTTAAAACAAATTACTATTTTATTGATTTGTTTTTCATATAGCAAAACAATTATTGACTGTTTTCGGGCAGTATTGATTATGTTAGCCTCCACGGGACGAAAATATTGCCCTCCGCTCGGGCAATATTTCATCCCTTGAAGGCTAACATTTTCAATGTTGCCTTCAACTCCAGTCAATATTTGTATAATGTTTGTGAATTAAACAGTTATTTCCAGGATCTGTGCGTTGGCGTTTCTGAGGAAAGCTTATGAGGGGAGTTTCATTGGAAGATTTCGAGTTTGACGGATATTGACCTTTAATATGATACAGCATATTTAATGTTCCACTGTAGAATGTAAGTTCAGTTTAAACTAGCGTATATATATTTAACTGTTCTTCTATCGTGACTTCTTTTAAAGTACCCGGTATGTCAAAATTGCACATTTGAAGGCATGTTTGCGGACTATAAATAAACTCCAAAATCATTTCCTTCGTACATGCAATGAACTAAGACCTGTTTAGCCTTAGCCGAGTTTTACTCACCAGAACAGTGATGCGATGAGAATGAGACGGATCCAATTTTATTAACTTAAATATAAGATAACTATGAGGTAACATATTTTTAACAAAGATTTTAATCGATAATCGCTATGATCCAGTATTGGTTGTACTTATAAAGGAAAATTAAAGTAGTACTCGGACTTGAAACTTTGCAACAGTAATAAATAGAATAATGATCCTTGGTTTACTCTCTTTTTGTGGTAATATTTATTGCAATCAGACTAAAATTGTAGTAGGACTAGCCTTGTTAAACATGGTTATGGTTATTTAAATAATTCCGATACTCTAATTCAAATGACTATTGTTATACGTACTAGGTACACCATCCGTCCTGTAGTAGATGTTGATGTGACTGATGCTGACCACGCTCTCTAGGTCTACTCTCCATTCTGCTGTTCGTTGACTGGGGCCTGATATTGTACACTGTCCTCCTCCGGCTCTACGGTCTGAATATAGTCCGTCTACCGCCTTTGCTGCTCCCCAGGCTACAGGTTTATCTGGCCAATTATTCTGTTGCCATGCAGGTTTATTTAGTGCTAAATTTTCTGTAGAAAAAACGTTATTATTTGATGATAGATAAGTTTCAAACTCTAGCATACATATTTTTAATCCTTACTAAGACACGTCTTTTAAGGACAAATGATCTCCCCCCCCCCCCCCCCTAAAAAAAAATGGATGCCTGGATTGGTATACATTTTTTTATCTATTTTGGTCGTAAATGATGCAAATATCAAATATCTAAAATATTAAATTCATATACTGTGGAATCATCATTGTTCGTGGGGGATCAATATTCGTGGATTTCGTGGGTCACCCTTTCCCAAGAATTTACATCCCCACGAACAATTTTTTTGTCTACTTACTGATTAATTAAGGTCAGACGATGCGTTCCTCGAATATCTGTTATGTATATCTTCGTAATGTATGAAAAATATTCAAAATTTTAATTACCTTATGATTTCTAAACCAGTTTCTAATCGTCTTTAAAAAATCCAAACACTAAAAAAAATTGATATTGGCATTTTAAATTTTTTTCCAAAAGGATTATATAAGCAAAACTACCCTCTGGTATCTTTCACAAATGCCTGGTAAGGTACCTCAATATTTTGTGAGTAAACATGTTAAAGGAGCAATACCTTAATGACAAAATCTTGGAAAAAAATTATAAAAATTATTTAGGAACGTATAGTCTGTCCTTAAATCTACCAAATGAACGAGCTGCCCACGAAGTTACATCCCCTCGAACCAATAAAATTTTGCTTGCCCACGAACATTGACCCCCACGAATTGAAATGATTCCACAGTATGGCATATTTTTTTTTATAACTTCATACTAACTAAAATTAAAAAGATCTTTCTATTTGTTTTATTTGATACTTTATATAAAGATAGGAATTTCCTGTAAATTACACAATTTATAAACGATTTATTTACCGACTCCGCATTTAAATGACACAATTTAAGGTAAATTTAACTATTGAAACATGAGTTTATTCAAGTTCAAAATCGGCGAAAATTTTAATTTGAACATAAATAACATATATCATGTTTGTATACACTCAATTTCGTATTTTTATTTTTTAGCTCAGATATGCCATATATGGCCTTAAGAAATGTAAACTTTCTGTGATGTTCAACATTCTACCTTTCTGCAATCACCTTTATAAATCACTACAACTTTTTATCACTTTATTGGACATACTGTGATATTGTGAATGAAAAGTAATAGATATTTTCGGTTAAACTAATTCATGTTACTCAGTCCTTAAGTTATCATTAGAAAAATAAACAAACCCACGTTTTGACTTGGTATAAAATAATCTTAATTACATTGTATTATGCGAAACTTTTTGACTGCGAAATCCTCATTACTTTCAGAAAATGTGCGTCCGTTTTCCTTGTCGATTATTTCATAAATTTTACAGAGATAGACATGTTGTTGGCGTGTGACAATGTTTATCATACACACAACCTCATCTCAGCAACTAAGTTATCTCTATAGAAAACTTCAAATTTTTTTCCCTCCAAAAGCAATGAATATAAGGTACATGAATATTAAATGAATAAATAATACTCACTCTAAAAATGCTTTGAATTCATAAAATAATGTATTTTGAAGGAGAAATGTAGCAAATGTAGAATTTAATGGGGACTTCATTATGTATATATTATGCAGGCTGAATACATATTACAATTTGATTAATAATTACATGCGACATTCATACAACTAACAGATAGAAATAGAGAGAGTTAAATGCATACCCAGAGAATACACACGAAAGGAAAGATATGGTCTAAGTTAATAAACATTTCAGGAAACCTTTTTTAGGGGCGATAGCAGGTTGTTTACGTTGGAAGTCTTACCATAAGCTTCTACGTGAATCACAAGCAGAAATAATAAACCGATGACGCGTACCATTTCCATATGCCTTCCTCTCTATCTATAAAATCATAAACCTCCAAACTTTAAAATTTTAATGATTATTTATATACCCACATTCATCTCTAAAGGTTTCCCTTTGATAACATTTATAAACGTAAATGTATTTATATCTTGTTGAAACTTCATCTAAGTTATAAATGTAGTTTGAATAATCTAACTTTGTATTGGGACAAGCCCTCACCAAAGTAAGAATACGTACCATATACCTGCAATGTAGAACATCGGAGCGGATCCGCTCCGAAATGATTTTGAAGAATATAAAGATTTGCATTGAAAATAACTACTAAATTAATCATACCAAACCTTTTTGAGATTGCATATGCCTTTTAACTTAAAAAAAATACATATAAATTCGAAAACTCAACTCATTTTCTCAACGTTTTTCCTCCCTTCAAATTTACACGCCATGTTGACATTCGGAGCTCTCTGAATTGTTCGTAGAAAATGCAGAATTCGAATTATCGCCTGTGTTTTTTTTAGTTTATTTAATTTTATTTTTTTGCTATATTGCCAATACATGGAACGAATTCTATCGTTAAACCAGGTCTGTAGGACAAAATCATTTTAACGATAGAACGTTCTATCTATTATAAATGCAGTCCATAGATGTACATTGATAACAATTACTGTATATTATTTCCACCCTCATTATGTGATGATAAAAAAAAACAATGCGTAATTGGACCTCCTACATTGGAGTAGTATCATCTCATGATAGCTCTCCATATTTTCTAATATCCGTAACAATCTTGAGGCTAAACTGAACTGTTTATTTACCAACTGAATTATCTTATATTTTATTTCTTAAGAGGGTCTATTAAACGCGCAAGAAAACTGATTGTTTTCATGTTCAACTGCGTTACGTCCGAAAACCAGATGACAATGAAAACTGTCGTATTAAAACAAAGGGGAAAAGCTCTCGAGGACATTTCAGGACAACCTCCTCCTTCACACACTAATTCAGTCCCTATTTAAACGACATTATCAGTAGAGGACATTAAGATTTTTGTCAGATTTCACCAGACTATCCACGACTTATTTTGTTTTATGATCAATGAAAAGGTGAGGATACCAAACTGCCATCAATCTTTTTAAATTCCTTAAAAATACGAAAAGTGATTATTTAAAATATACCCGACCTCTGGAAACCAATGAGGGATCTGCTCCTACTAATTTAGGCAAAACAAAATAAAATTTATAAACGTAAGAAATACATCAGTAGATACATGTACATTTATTTTTATTCATTAATTATAGTGAAAACAAACCCAAACGATATTATTTATCATATACATGTATTTAAAATTGCAGCAAAACACTTAACAGGCATTAAAACACACTCCTTCCATTAGCAATATCCTGATGAAGACAAGTATACTCATTGAATAACCCAATGAAAAAATTTGCTTCATAACCTTATACATGGTAATAATCCTTTTTGTTTAAGTAATAAAAAGAACTCTACCTTACCGATAAGTTGACTATCAGAGAAAGTCATGTTAATTAAAGATGGAAATCATTATCCAATACAACGCTTCTATTCATAGTGGTTTTGAAATTCATATACATCAAACTGCCTGCCGTCTAAAGTATGGTTTATACCACTTAAAAAAGCACTTAAACTAACTGCCATTCGAATAAAACCAAGTGCCTCAAGATGTATAGAGGATAAACGTCTTCCGTGTTGGTTTATTGAGAGCTCCTTGATCTGTCTTACCTACTCATAATAATGTTATAAAGCGCCTATCAATATGGGTGACTTACTCGAACAGAAATGTTTATACTAAAGATGTTTACATTTAAAGTAAATTCTTCACCAGAATGTCTGTATGTTTGTTTGTCTTGACTGTACTAGGGCTCTTTGGCTTTTATTATGGCTTTTATGACCTTTTTGAAAAATTTGAAAAATACTTTTCCTGTTACCACCTACTGCAACAAGGGACTTTATAATATACGGTTTTATCAGTTTCTTGATAGGAGAATCTTTATCTTATAATTTCAACGTCTTTTGCAACCCAACCCCGACCACAACTATAGAAGATATAATTAAACAAAAGAGAATATCGACTCTGAATGTGCAGTAAAACTTAATTTCATCTTTTCTTATCAAGTGGTTTAGAGAAGGTTTCAAACGAATTTACTGTATTTCAAGTGTTTCGTAATGATTTTAAATTGGTTCCTCCTGTATGCATCATTTTTTCTTTTCTTTTTTTTTTTTGTCTCAAGGATGAAATTTGAGGATAAAAACAGTTATCACCCTCACAATCCGGTTAAACATTAGAAAATGAGGAGAGCAGAGCAGTCGCAATTTAAAGTGTTAGGCATAAAAAATCTCCGAAAATAAAATAAAAGGCATATTTTATCCTACAAATTTAAAAAAAGGTTATAGTGTGTACTTTCAATCAATACTTTTTTATGTTGTTACGGTTTTATTGGCGTTACTTTAATACACAGATTAATAAAAATATTAAATTCCTTGGTAACAATCTCTGTTGAAAGCAAGAAAAAAATCATTTACCTCAATTTCCGGCAATTTGTTACAAAATGTAAACGAACAAGAACAGTGTCCCCCTTAATCTTACACAGGGAAGTAACAACTTATAAAGGACAGGTCTAGAGCTGATGATAAGGGGAGAGCTAAACCTCCCGTGTTTACTTGTAAATATATTTATAACTTTCTTATCTTTGTGTCGAAACTAAGTTTTAAATCTGTCAAGAGATTTATTTGTGCTTGAAGGAATTTTGATAGATATGTATTTACATAACTTTAATAAAAGCCATTGGTTTGGAAAAAAAAAAATCAGGTGTATATATTTTAATGTAAGACCATCGCAAGATTTCTGGGGTGCAGAAAGGGTATATTATAGTTTACTCTTCCACAGACAGATATTTTTTTTTATTTGAAAATAAAAATTGGTGTTGTGATGTATTCTTGAAGTCATTTCTTCATAATGAACAAAAAGAAGCATTACTTTAGATTTTTATTTCAAGTGCTAGTTACAATTATGGCTATTTTATCAATGTATTTAAGACTAGAATTTCTACATTCTGAAATTAGAAATATAGCATAAAGTTATAATTTAAATCCTCTGTCAAACGCATCTTGCTAGAAAAGGAGGGAAAATAGTATTTCTATATACATTTTATAATTTGAAATAAAGATTTTTTTAAAATAAGTTTTACATTTTTTTATTCTTGTATCCGTTATATTCAGGCTAGGAAAATTATATGAATCTCATTTTTATTTCTAGATTGCCTAAGTTATTTCTTGATACTTAATCATTATAAAAAAATAATGAAGTTTCAATTGGAAGTAAACAACTAAAAGAATGAATACCACAAACAAAACTTTTATATATGCAGGATTGACATATTTTTGCCTTTTTCAAATACACGATTTTGTTCCCTTTTCAGTATACAACTATACAAGTTTTCGGGCAAATTGCTTGGCATTAATATTAAATCTTACGTAATTTTTTACATTTACTTTGGCAAAATATAATATAAGTCATGTATTTAAACACTAATCTTTTAAATTTGTTGCTGATTTCTAAAAAAAAAAACCATAGTGCAATATTTACCATACAGTGTAGGTAAAGATTGATTTAAATATTTTTTTAACAGGACCTGGCTTCTCTGATAATAAGGCTGCTAATGGCGAGGTTGTCTAGGTGTATTTTTGATATCAGACATGCCAAAAATACATGAATGAAATATGAAGATAGCTAACAGTATTCAATCTCGAAAGTCCAATGAAACGATACAAATTTGAAGCAGAGCAAACACGGACCTCAAATTTAGCGGTGGGATCAGGTGCCATGGAGGAGTGAGCATCCCCTGCCGACCGGTCACACCCGCCGTGTGCTCCTTGTCATGATCGGGAAACATAATCCGGAAAAATCCGTAGACAGTTCAGTGTATAAATAATGGCCTAACAATCAGTATGAAAAATGTCAGTCAGCATATGACTCAATGATAGGTTGTATGTGCTGACAAGGTCATTGTATCGACCGAAATACTTGCGAAAAGATACGAATTAAAATTGTTCAGTTAATTGAATCGTGTCATATAACTGTAAATCATTTTCTTCTTTGGGGTTTGGCGGTTAGCCTGACTAAAGACAATAATAATATCAATAATCTGAAAAGGTAAGTAAAGAATTAATTTTGTCAAACTTATTGTCAATGTTCTTTCAAGATATGCGATCGGAATTTACGCTCCCGACGGCCTTTAGAAAATAGACAAAGTTTGCTCAATAGAAGGTTACATACAATATTTAATAAACTCTCTATAGTGACAACTTGAACACGTACGAATTAATACAAATATTCTTTCCTACAAAAATGTAAAACACGTTCTTAGTATGTATTTTCTCATTTCAAATATAAAAAGAATGATTTTTAATAAATTTTATAGTATAACTTCAAAAACATTTATAGATAAAATATAAATACCTTGTTCAAAATTGAGTGACAAATACCAAACATTAAACCTTAAGTTTAATTTCCGGCTACTTGTAAAAAGTCAAATGTGAGGGCACGGATCAGCGACTGCATAATATTTCATAAGGAAGTAGCATCTGATAGGAGGGTAGAGCAGGCCATGTTAAAAGGAAGCTATATCCTACTCTTTTAATAAATATTTATGTCTGAGGTGTTGCAATAAATATATATTATGTCAAATGAAGATTCTGAGTTTGTTGTTTTATTATGCCAACATTTAAATGAAAATTTTAATATGAGAAAACAACATAGTACAATATAGGCATATTACAGTCATTATACATATACTATTTGTATACATTTAAGCATCCTAAAAGTTGACAGCTAACTCTCTGTTCAATATACAATTGTTTGTTTTGTTCTGTTTATTGTTATTTATGACTATGATTTCGGACATTGTTCATCTTTACGCTCCACTGTGGGCCCAAATTGGTTGAATAAATATTCTATTCTATTCTATATTGACATTTGTAA